CATTCACACTAATTCACTTGAATATTATTAATAGTGCCTCTCCTGGTCTAACTCCCTGGAAGGCTCTTGCGCCGCTATAATCCCAAGCACTAAGGGATCATATAAGCTTGCATCTTTAATTTGTCTATTTTATGTATACCTCCTCTGGTGAGGTTTCCGTAGGACTACCTGCTATAAAGAAACCTTTTTGGGCATTAAAAAACGCTCATACATTTGACGCTGGTCTTTGTCTGTGAGTAACTTTCAGGCATTGGAGTATGTTTACTGTAAGGCCTATCTGTCAACCCTTATTGATTGTAACGAAATGTGAAAATCAGAATCTTGATAAGCAAAATTAGAGATAAAATGTTAGTACTCAGTTTGCCAATTTGCGCTGTTTCGAAGCCACGAATGACAAATTCCAAAGTGTAAGCGAATGCGTTTGAAGTTTCATCGGCCTCGTTCAGAGCACTCCCTGGACCCTCAATCTACAAATCCATGAAAACAATTTGAGTTAAAACTGCCTAACTGCAACACTTGCCTAAGGGTGTTTGAGCGATAAAACATGCCTCCAGCGGAAATCGTGGATTTTATGTCAGTAATATCTAAGAAATTACGTGTAATCTGGGGATATTCTAACTAGCATTGCCGTTTTGGATGAATTGCTATAAAAAGTTAATCTAAGTACTGATGAAATAAAGCTTTTATGGACACGCTTCACATCAAAGCAAAAATGGGTTTTATGCATCAGGACAGAATTTATTGCTGTCTTAGATTTCGGTATTGTGATAATAGTTTGGTTATCTTTTCAGAGCTTTCGGTTGTGCACCGTCAGGCAGAACTTAGATTTACTTCGAGCTGAGAAGCAACTTCTTAATGTATTTTGGCTTTAAAGTTAACTTATTACCCGGTGAAGCTAGTTAACTGCGACCAACGGTTTCTCAGTTCAAACGAAAATTATGCAATTTCCGAAACTTTAGCGGATCTCCTTTTTTTGGTAGGAAACGATGTTTGTATTCCAAACAATATGCGAATGTGACCATGTAATAGTTATCGTAATTCAATTTAAAATACAAGCAGTCTTCCGTCAAGGTTCAGCGTACATCATCTTTAATTCGTGTAGCATAGTAGCCTTTTCATGGTGAACTCAAACGTACACATAATTCCTAGCGATCTAGAGGGAATAACGTTAAGCTTTGATAATTTACGTTACACTCTATAACCACCATATTTGGAAAGGTCAGCAGTTTCGCAGCCGTGCAACCGACTGAAAGTCACTGAGAGTGAAAGTACACCTTTGCCCAAAATTTCGGACGGTTTAATAAATCCACGTGACAAATTTAGGCGCGTATTCCTTCCAAAATATCTGAACTTTAAGTCCAGAAACATTTCCAACAACCATGGTAAGTGAATACCACATTTATTGCGTAAATCACTCAAGAAAAATTAGCTGAATCTTGCTTTGTACTGTAGAAATTCTCCCTTATTAACTAGTCTGTTAGATCGTGTTCAATACGCCTGTGTTTTCGATTTCCTTTTTAAACTTTCTTGGGCATACAGTTAGATGTTTCATTAGGTACTGAATACTAAATAATCCTACGAATGTAGCCATAACGGTATCCCAATTTGACACCTAATGAACAAGGGCCATGCGTGTGTGTGGGCTTATTGACAGAGCAGAGAGAATTAGCTGTATGGCGTAGTGGACGAATGAAGTTAAGAGTGAGTCATAGACGCGCATCGTCTTTAGATAAACTTGTTCAGACGCGTTGCCACCGGTACACCCCCACTGACAGGCCACAACACTTCGAGTACATTTCATCCATTTCAGGTTTAGCCGGGTTAGGGGCGAAGTTAGGTCATGTGTCACCGCTAGCATGCGTCAAAATCATCTACAATTGTGGAGCATTTCAGATAGTGGTTTACACAATTTTTGTTGAAGCACTAATCTATTTAATTAAAAACAACTCATCAGTATCCTAACTCATCTGGTTTCAATGTTTACCATCCCCAGTTAGTGGATTAAATTGGAGTCATGAAGCATGAAGTCAGTTACGGACCGAATTTCACACGACTTCACTCCCAGGATTAAAAATGGTACATAATCAGACGTTGGGTAAAGTGGTGCGTTAAAGTTTGCAGGATTTCCTTAACGCAAGCTCTAAGGAATGTTTTTAATGCGATCAATGGTGTTTCAATAAGTCAATTGCATTTATACCTCCTAGAAAGCGTTCTGCTGATTGGGACTGGAGGAAACTATTGGAATCCAACGGATAGGGTCGTGCGTATTGCCAATCACAGCACTCGAACCCTGCCAGTCAGTCATAAACCACAACAACCAGTTTCTGGCCTAAGTGCAGCACCTGTGTCCTCCTCAAGTAGCTACGTTGACTTCTCGTTAATGCCTGGTGCCGGGTTTAGCAAACACTTTTGTAAGATTTTCGTTCACTTTAAATAATCAGTTTTATACTTAAGAGCCGTTTTGAAATACAGCGTCTGCACCATTAATATATACACTTAACGCCCACTATTTATATGGCGCAAGGCGCAAACATCACGGCCTGAATCTAAATTAAAACAAAGACAGTTTCTTATTTAAGAGAATGAGGTGTCTAGTTGGGAGCGTCTTAATCTAAGTTTAATGCTCTCACTAAACTACTTAATGGATTCTCGGCTCAGTTAATAAGTCTATTCCCCAAGGATTATCTATTATTACTCAATAGGCTGAAAAGACCAGTCCAAACTCGCAAGTATTTCCAACTAGACGCGGAGTAATATTTGTCTTCGTGTACCACAAATGGGAAAAGGTAATCACCGACCCATAACCCTGCATGCTTAAAAACGTCGATTAGTAGTGATACTTTCAGACGGTGCAGATTCCTCACTTACTTGAAGAAGTTGGCAGATTTACTTTCCTTGGATCAAAATTGGCCAGTGTCACAACGAGTATGCCCTCATTTCAAGTTACAGTCTTACAAGGTCATCTAATTGACCTCGTCACGGAGGAATTCAATGGTAACATCACTTTGCTAAAGCCACCGTTAACTTCAGCATGCAGTGATCAAAATCGCAAGTTGTCAAAGTCATCGAGCTGCCGATAACCCAGCACACAGACGGCGTACGAAATTTGATTTAATAAATACAATACATGAAACGTAGTCCTTGTTTTGCTAAGTATTTGGTAGTTGGGACGAGCAGTGTTAGAACGCGCTGTCTAAAGAGGCAAACAAGTTATCTTGTCATAGGGACTTTGAAATTATAGAGTGAGGTAGAAGTGGCGTGAGCCTTTCAAAGTGATAACGCTTGCAAACAGCGGCAGATTGAACGATGTTGGGAGTATTTTGCGCAGCAGTAATCAATGAGGTTGCATGAAGACTGAGTCAGTTAGGTCACCGTTTGTTTGAAAAGTGTGAGATTATTGTGATGAAAACAGTGTAGTTTTTCTACCTTAAATTTAATTTACGTTGCTCACAGGCAGCAAATTTTTCGGTGGGGAAAATGAAACTGAATGATTGATGCTTATTCATCGGGAACTTGCAAAATTACTGAAAAGAGAACGCTAATACAGAGACTTGAAAAATGATTTCTTTGCCCAGGAATGCCGCTGTCACTGTTTAGTAATTCATGAACGTGGAGAAGACCACTAGGTTACACGGATCCACTAAGATTGGCCCCATAAAAACCAATTTTTGTATAAGAAATTAATTGTCTATTTAATTTTTACTAGGTATGCTTAAGTTGCAGGTGGTAAGTACATTAATTGAACAACTTTTAGTCAATCCAAATTACATAAAGATGCATACGGGATATTTTGGTTCAAACTGCTGAGATTTCCCAGTGGGAATAGTATTTATGGCCTCTCGGTGTTTCAGTGTGCGTAAATTCAAAGATTACATGGTTAGTGATTTAATGATCCGAAAGTAAGCTTGTCTGAAAACTAAAATGACCGTAGATACAATGACACAATGTTGATGCCAAACCTCATATGACCCGGCATTTCTGGTTAGATTGGTTTCAATGGAAGAGTGGAAAACTAATTAGCAATTGTAGGTGATTAAACTCTCGGCTTGGTCAAATTTACATAAAATTCCCAAATAACAAAGCCACTGTGATGCTACCAAAGTCATACTTTAATGCAAATCTGTTATGTCCCGAAATTGAATTTGCATGGTTAGATGAAAGGAAGGGAAATAGCTCTGGTTCTCAAATGACTTTGTTTTCAGGTAGACTATTTTTATCCAAAATAAGAACATGTTTTGGAGGTTTTTTTACTGCAATAGCAACCAAAAATATTCACTCCTGACAAAAAATCCTGCTTGAAGCACGACACCACTTTAAGATGCCAACTTGGAGTAAGTGCTTAGCGCGTAAATCAACCGTCCCAGCGTGAAGTAGTTTGCCTGTGATGGGGACAAAGAAACACACCATTGCTGCTGTCGAGTCAGTTGCGTAAAACCGTTCGAAAGACCGTGGTTGTTGTTTTGACCTTCATTTAGGAAGTTTTCGGCAATCAAACGTTTAACCACCAAAAAGAACTTAGGTGGATGGTTAGATAACAGACAAACCTTACTTACTCTGACATTGACACGCACGATATCCATTCTAATCGCTAAATTAAATCGGTCATCCTCTTTGAGAAAGAGGAGCCCAATGCCACCAATTTTATGATTCTCAAGGAAATTTTACGTGGCTTTTGCACTGGGCCATTTTTACTTTCAAATCCACCCGGGGATAACCAACGTAGACCCGGGTAAGGATAAGTGTCCAGTGTCAATTGTAGGGTTACCCCTTTTATTAAAATTCAAATTTAAACCCCTCTTCATCCTTAAGTGGTTTTTTGAAGAACTACATAACTAGTTACACCTCACCTCACGGGCGCATTAAGACCACCACAAGTAGTTTTGCACTTTGCACCTTGTCGTCCCTAGAGTTGGCCTGTATTCTCGCCCTTAAAATAACACACAAGCACTCACATTTATAGTCTTTTGTTCAAAAATATCGCATACACCACGATCAGAGAGTTATGAATCACTTGCGGGAGCGTTGGAATCCATGCTTGGTAATGCCGCTGAGGCCATTCTCTCCTCACGGGAAACAAAGGGGTAAGCATCTTCGATGGACTTTCCCTTCTTCCCCATTTTCTGAAACATCAAACTGCCCGTTCGAATGGCAGCAGCTCCCGAGCTGGAGGACTGCCGCATTTTGCCGTCACAGAAACAGTCGCGGAAGATGGTGGCAACGAACTGGCGAAAGGAGGGCGTAAAAATAGCGTAGATACAGGGGTTCGCAGCACTGTTCACATAGTAAAGATAAAATAGCACCAAATTCTGGTGTGCCCAGCCGTTTGCGATAACCAACGCGGGCACAAAAGTGAGGATGTACACGAGGGCAATGATGAAGAGCATGAGGGCTGAGCGGAGGTTTTGAAGAGTAAACTGAGCTTTTTGGATGATTTTTGTCGAAAAACTGACCATGAGCTGACGTGAGGGTCTTGCATTTTCCGGCTTCCTTTGTTCGCTAGAATCGCTTCCGTTTTGTTGTTGCCGTTGTTGAACAGCAAGCTTATCACGGCGCGAACGCGAACTCACGATTGCCCGAAATACGCAAGAATACAGAATTAGAACGATTAATATGCAGGCAAGGTAACAGGCATGATTAATATATTTGATGATTTGGGAAACCGTCTTCTGCAATTCGCTTATCCCGCGAACATACTCATTCTCCTCGCAGATGTAGTTCTGGGGATTACTGATGCCAGAATTATTTGCTTGTATCGACTTCACGCCAACAACACATCCGGCAGCAATGCCCACACAAAGAGAAAATATGGCCAAAGTAGAGACAAGTATTTTTGCTCTGAGTAGGGTGAGAATTTGCTTCAAGGAGTGACAAATAAATAAATATCGGTCGAGTGCTACTGCTGATATTAGCAGCGATGAAAAAGTCGTGTTCGTCACGAACATGATGTAGAATAATTTACACAATATGTCGATACTTATTCGAAATTGATATAACTCCATGGTGATGGTTGACGGAATGATTATGACACACACGAGGAGATCTGATCCTGCCAAGACAAGAATAAAAAAGTCCAGGGTCTTGTCCCTGCCAAAGGTACTGGTATCGGCATCGCCATTTTGTTGCCGGCGCCTGTAACGGTTCCAACGGCTGTTAGTGGACGAGTTTTTCAGACAGAGAACAACGATTACAAGGGTATTACCGATGCAACCGATTACTATAACAGCAGCCATCACAGCAACTGCCCTAGCCACCTCATCGTCACTGAAGATAGCGCTGTTGCTGGGAGTGTTGTTCATTGGTATTATCCGTAGGGTTGATAGGGCCTTCATTTCACAGGAGAGGTCATTCTATGCGCAGCAAAACTACAGGGACGACGATGCAGTTTGGTTGAACGACCTGGTAGCCAATCCCTGCGTTGATTGGCTATCTGGAGTTGGCCAATAGCCGTTGAATCTCGCTAAGGACTTTCGGTGGCAGATACACGGCGTGCATTTATACTGTGGTTCAGGCACTTATGCTAATGTAGATTGAGGAAGTTATGCGCACTGGGAACTCGGAAACTATTAACACAACTTATTCGATGAGACCGTAAACTTTCTCTAAGCTATCAAACAATCCAAAAAATTGGCCAACAGGATAATTGACCCATCAAGAGTTCACAGCGGCAAGAGCTGCTTCAAAAGATCACACCCTCAATCTTGGGTAAGTTTGGCAGCCACAATCTCGACAAATTCAAATATACGAGGGATGTAAATGTCACCTCTGGCACTTATTCATAAACATACGCAGGGTACAACTATGGAGCTTCGTCGGGCTTCGACCGTGTATAACGCCTTCAAATGATTCCGACTGAATGGTTTAGGCTAACCTCTGAGTGAATCTTAGCATGCACTTCGATCCAATTAAGTTTCAATAGGCCTGACATGCGATTTAAACCAATCCGACACACGACATATTGCGAACGAATAATTTGGACTTACGGCTGTTCCGCACAAGACTTGGAACCGGATTTGGCATTTAGGTTCGTAAAATTATCGACCTGTCAATTGATGTTTGCTCCAGAATCAAGGAATAATAGGGAATCGATCCCACACTGGTTGACATTGTCTGTTCTAAAATCCAATAAAACCATCGCAGGTTCGTAAAATTATCGACTACTGTTTTATGGGTGCTCAGCTTGTGCCTTAATGCGACCCTAACTTTCGAAGCCTGTTTCCAGTGAAAGGCGTCTCTAACCTTCATTTACAAGGGACGAAAAATAGACTTAAAATTAGTCACAATTTTTGGTTTAAAACAAAAACAGCATTACAAAGTACACAAGTGTTATGCCGCCGGAACTTTTTGCTGACTTAGACCCTTCACCCTATAATTCAGTGGTAAAAATGCAATTTGAATGCTGGTAAGCTTCCTTGAAGGAAACCTCGGCTACAAATATTGCCTTTGCTTTGCTGCAACGTAAACAACTTTATTTTCGGTTCTCCTTCATCGACTTAGAGGTGTGCCAATTTCAGTTGTCATTTGCGAAGAAGTGGGCAGGAATATGATATCACATTTGATAAGGCCAGCAAATCGAAGTGTTCAGATGTGTCAAAATAAGAGGGTTTAAGTAAGTGCCAACATTAACATAGCACTACTTAATCGACCGACACACATTCGGTTCTCTGTTACCGATTCAATAATACAAAAACAGTAGTTCGGGTCTGTTAACGGCAGTGCACATTCAGGCCAGGTTACGCATAAGGCATTTGCAATGGTTGGGAATTGATAAAAGTTCAAAAGTTCTGAGTTCAAACCCAAGCTCTTCGACTGGCGGCTGTGAAAAACCACGATGTACACAGTTGGAATTTAATTAGTATGACGTTAAACAAAACAGCGATCATGTTTACTAATTGGGCCAAAACACATGCACATTAATTTTGTACTTTGTTCATTGTGAGCTGGCCTTGGCTGAGCGGCACTAGTTGTTATGTTGTGTTTTGAGGGTCTGGACAACGAACGCTTTGTGATGGATGAGTTTGTTGATGGTAGCGTGCGAAAATTGCATCATATGTAGAATTGGTACCTTTGATTCAAAGACCCTAAATCAAGTCAGCCAGTAGACATGAAGATAATTTAAAATATGTTTGCCCAGTAATCAGAAAATTTGCATTAATGGTGACAAAATTGACGCACTTCCAGGAAACGACATTTCACAATTATTTAAATGGCAAAATTACTTTCAATTTAAAATGTCAGACATGAACTAACCTTGGGAATGTTGAAAAATATGGAGCAAAATTAAAAATCTGTATCCAGATAGCAAATCTTTCACTGTTTGGGGGTTTCAGTGAACAAACATACTTACAATGGACCAATTGCCTCCCCAATGCCGCAGCGACAAGCTAGTAATTGGCCAAGTAAAGGAGATCGATTTATCGGCTTTGAACTCTTAAATCATCCACGACTAGCTTCCACGCTGTTACTAAAAAGGAGTTGGCATTTAGCAGTTCCGCCAGTGAAACCGCTTTTCAGAAAATTCCACTTCTGTGCGCGAACAGCGTGCAGGATTAACTAGAAAACAAATGCCTTGGAGGATTTTAATGGGCTTTTCCCAACTCACAACCAACACAAACGAACAAAATGTGCGTTGAATTTCATTAGACATCCTGAGATTCAAGTAAAATCTACTGCAAACCACCTGAGACGTCAGTAAAGTAGTGCAGAATTTCGGTGATTCGCTTGGCTGTGAGTACACACTTGGTCAACCGAACCAAATTAAAACCCAGATAACAGTCTAATTTCGTCAGAAAACATACTACATGCATCAGAACTTATTATAGGCTTTAAATAGACTGATCGTCATGGGACCAAATGCAAAAGCAATTTTTATTATTCCCATGAAACTAAATCGTTGTTTGTCGCATTTCTGTTTACACACACACCATGCCTTCGCTTGCTTTTTTGTCGGTCTCTTGTAATAGGTTAAATAAAAAGGGGGTTTCCTAGAAATCAACAAAAATTTTTGGCTTTTAAGAACAAAATTGGAGTTTGCATTTTAAAAGCACTGCCGTTGGTAAAGGATAGGATTTATTAGAGATTCAAAGCAATTTTTTACAGAAAATAGTTCCATATTAATGGACGTTTTTTTGTTTCCCCAGACTATTTCACTCGATAAAACTAAAAAAAAGAAGCTCAGAAGTCGTTTTGATGACAATTCTGTGCATTCTTTTAAATCCTTCTTTAATGTGTGTCAACTTGGCTTCAGTATATTGACTCAAGGCTTCATCATTGTTCAACCTCGTTTAATTTTCCACGGAACACTTAGATCGAAAGTTTAACTTATAAAACGAATTTTGTTGTTGCAATAAATTGACAGTGCCTATTAGGAGAAATAACTTATACCGCTTTCAGTGTAGAATGAGTAGATGAAAAGAAACATGCTGCGCATTAGAATGAAATTGGTGGAATCGTAAAAAGAATAATCTAACTTACATAAACAGCTGATCAAAACAACAAAGAAAGAGATTGGCGCCAGATAGTGCTTTTTTTCGAAGTTAGCCATTCACTCACTAATATACTACATCCAGTAAACATTACTGGGCCTCAACCCTGATTGTGATTTTAACCAGCTAAGTAGCATTTGCAAACAGAAGATTTGGTAAGTCAAATAGAGAGATACAGAGTAGGTCTGAGTCTAACTTGTGGCGATCTCCTGTGACTACACTATTTTCACTTGCTCAAAATTCACAATAGATTAGACTTAAAAATTCTTACCCCATGTGAATTTGACGTTTATATATTTAGTCAAGCTGGTATTTGGGTTTGAATACCGTCTAGGAGGAAGCTAGTTGAAATGCAAACGAGGAGTCTGAAGCACGTCTTTTTTTAACACTGAATTTTGCATAAATTATCCGACCATCTTCAAAAAATTATAAGAATTTAATGAAACCAATTAGAAGTGAACGATTTATGGGCTGCTCCATAATGCAAAGACTTCCATTTATGGTGGGTTGGATGCTTAAAAACACGCCCACCATTTATGAAACGTTGGTTTGCTCTTCAGCTGGCCAATCAAATTGAAGCCGCTATGATGTTTAGATTGCCTCGGCTTGGAGATTTATTCATTAAATCACAGAAATTTCTAGTTCACTTAAAATACTCATCAAAATATAAATTATGGCATCGCTGATAGTACAGGCAATCAAAGGATTTCCAAGGACCTAAGCGCTTTAAATGTGTAAACACCTCAAGCGTAGCCCATAACTTGTAAATTTTAAATGTTGGTTGTTGGAAAGAGAGTCATAAGTCAGTCTATAAGGAATAACAACAGCTCAACAAGGACTTCCATCAAATTTGCGAAACAGTTTTACTTGTGCTGTAGCAATAAAGCTGATTTCCAAATTGTTGGATCCAGAGAATGGAAAGGTTATTGGTAACGACAAGCACGTATGGTCGTCAGTTGGCAGACCACGTGCTCTGTGTGGGTGTAAGGAAAACAGGAATCACGGAGAAAGTGTATACGGAGCGAGAAATACAATTTGAGGCTGAACTTAGCTATCCAAGAAAGGACCGTCGGTGGAAATAATACAGCGCATTACTTTACTGATTTGCCGATTAATACTGTTCAGTCCATGATATTTTCATTGATGAACTAGTGTTTGTATTTCACCTCGAGTGGCTTCATCTTAATTGATGTTATAGGAACAACAGGGGCTAACAATATCATTCTACTGACTCTGTGAGTGGATGTGAAAGGCAACATGGTATTGAAGAAGGACTGCTGCTGCCTTCCATGAAACCAACCTTTAAAAGCTACTCAGGCCACTGGCAGCGTTCCGTTGGGAATCAATGCTTTAAAAAGTCATCGTACTGGGGTCGTGTGCAATACTGACGCGGACAACGGCACACGTAGTTGTGAGCTGAGGGCACTAGGTTGAGGCTGGGTGAAAAATTCTACAGGGGTAGATTGAGTCAATGTCTGAATTTAATTTGTTGAAAAAAGCCAACGAGCCCAACCAATGATGAGATAATTTTTTGCAGTAGTGCAAGCCTTTCGCAGGCACAAAAGACTAAAGCATTAGATGCTAGGTAAAGCACTGTAACTAAAAAATTATCATAGTATTGGAGGAGACAGCGAACCTAGTATTTCCTATAGATAGTATCAAAATAAGGGCATTGAATGGGATAAATAAGGTTTACGTGACATTCGGACAATGGTTTCAGTCACCTTCTCAAGAGTGGACGACCATCGGCAGACACCAAACAATTTACGCTGATGAGTATACAGATAAATTCTGGCGAATCTGTTGACGTCTGTGTGTGCATTAAGGAAACGCGCGTTTGAGGCATT